AGCCAGTCTCCTGCCTCAGCCTCTCAAGTAGCTGGGACCACAGGTGCCCGCCACAATGCCTGGCTATTTTTTGGTTGCAGCTGTCATTGTTGTTTTGGCGGGCCCAGGCTGGATTCGAACCTGCCACCTTAGGTGTATGTGGCCAGCGCCTTAGCCACTTGAGCCACAGGCACCGAGCCGAGATTAGTCTTCAGAAAACACTTAGAAGAGGGCCTCCACTAGGGAAGCCCCTGGGTGTGAGCCCCAGAAAGGTTCAGACTTTTATCTCTTTTATTCATTATCCCTGCACCTAGAACAACCTCTAGGACATAAGAGGCACAAATATTTGTTGAATGAGTGAACTGGGGATGGGAGAACAGATGAATCAATCGGAGGCTGCCACACACTCACTCTGGTCAGGGAGGCAAACACACACACTGTAACTGTCAACACAAGTCTTTCTTTTTGCAAACACTGAACACTTGCTACGTGCCAGGTGAATGCTGTAGGGTGTCTGGGGCTCAGCACAGGGATGAATGAGGCAAGGGCTCTGTGGTAGAGACTGCTAGTTGTTTCCTTTCCACTCTCTCCTTGTCTGTAGTCATGGAATTTGGGGTCAGACACACAGCCATGTGGGATATGGGCCAGATATCTCAGCCTCCCTTGCAGCTAGATATAACCCTGTGACTAAATGCTAACCACTAAGGTATAAACTTGCAGAGGTGTCCACTTGCAGCTCTTGAGCCACATGCAGCTTATTTGAAGCCTAGTTTGCTTATCCATGGTGGTAGATAACACAAAAAGTATGCACAGAACTTTTTTTCCCACTCATCATCTTTTGTTAGTGTTTGTATGCTTAATGTATGGCCCAAGAGAACTCTTATTCTTTCAGTGTGTGGCAGTAAAGAAAAAGGTTGGACACCCTAGAAGTGTCAAATGGTAGCTTTTGAAACTCTCTTTAGGAGATGGCTGGCAAACACTATTCCCCCAGGTGACTAGAAAGTAGATGAAATGGCTGGAATTGAAGCAGCCATGTTGGACTGCGAGGGAACCTTGGGCATTGAAGTGACCCATCACAGAGCAGCAAGAAAAATAGCAGGATCCTGGGTCTTAAAGGACCATATGGACGATAGGATCTCAGCCACCATCAGCTCTGGACTGCAGACTTTCAAGAGAGAAAGAGTAAAACTTCTAAATTATATAAGCCAATATATATTGGGGGTTTTACTATTTATTATCTGAAGCCCACACCAATCCTAGTACTGACCCATCACTAGATGCTCAAAGTCAGCTGATCAGGGGACATACAAGGAAACAAACCAACCCCTTAGAGTGTGGTGATAATGGGAAGCCACACAGTATTGTGGGAGGAAGCAAGGATTGTGGGAGACCACAACCCACCCAACCCATCCTGTGGGAGGAGCAGGAGGGAAACAGAGAAGGCTTCCTGGAGGAAGTGACACCTACATCAAGTCCCAAAGAATGGGTAGGCATTTGGTGGGACATGGAGGGAGAAGAATGAATTTGCTAAACTGAGACAGATATATGCTGAGACTTTGGGGAGCTCAGGGGAGAGGGGGAGAGAGAGAGGTAGGTAAATTTTATCCCAAGGGACCAAGGAAAAATTTCCAAAGTGAGTGGAACCAGACTCCGAACCATGAGAAAGACTTTGGAGGAAAAACTTACCTGCTGGCAGGCGGGCAGCAACTTCTGCCTATAATCTTAGGACTCTGAAAGGCTAAGACAGTTGGATCACCTGAGCTCAGAAGTTCAAGATCAGCCTGAGCAAGAGCAAGACCCCATCTCTACTAAAAATAGAAAAACCAGCCAAGTGTTGTGGTGGGTGCTAGTAGTCCCAGCTACTGGGAGACTGAGGCAGGAGGAACTCTTGAGCCTAGGAGTTTGAGGTTGCTGTGCACTAGAATGACGCCACAACACTCTACACAGGGTGGCTGAGCGAAACTCTGTCTCAAAAACATACAAACAAAAAACATGCCTGTCTAAGGAAGAGCCAAGTGCAAAAAAGAAAGAGGCCATGACTGGATGGCAGGGATAGCCTGGTGTGGTCGAGTGTGATGTGCTCAGTGATGTAGGAATAATGGAAGACGGAGAAGTTGAGGAAGCTGTGCCCAGATGCTTTGCATTTTAAGTGTGTGAGATGTATCAACTCAACCTCAAAATGGCCCGCCAGCTAAGTGCAGTACTATTCTTTAGCAGATGCAGAAACTGGGTATAGGAGATCAAACCACTTGATGAAGGCTGCACAGTAGTACATGGCTGAGCTGGGATTGAAGCCTGGGCAGTGGGAACCCTCAGCCCATGTGCTCCCCCAAGACCCTGGCCACTGTTACAAGGCAGCAGGATTCAGGGGGCACCCACATTCCTTTCCCTCTATGAGACCTGACCACCTATGTCCACATCCAGCATATTATGGCCACATACTAGTGTTACATTGGGTTATGCAATATTGGGAGATTCTGATCTTGAACCTGAAGGGAAAGGGAAGTGAAAGAGTTCCAGGAAGGCCCAGAGAAGTCCCAAACAGCCCAAGAGAAAAACACATCTGAAAAGGGAGCCCCTGGATTTATTTAGACACGGTCTCCTTTCATTTCAGGAGTGAGATTTCCATCAGGAAATCTCTAATCTTATATGTATAATAAAGAGATAACAATCATTTATATATTAGTGCATTTTTTACATTATCTCATTTATGATCCTCACATCAATCCTATAAGGGTGACATGCCCACTATCATTTTACAGATGAGATAAGGCACAGAGTGGGTAAGTAACTTGCCTGAGGTTGCCCAGCACATAAATGATGGAGCTGGGAATCACCCCAGCTCTGCCTGACCCCCAGCCCACATTTGCAGCCACCTCACTCTTACAGATCCTCTGGTATCCATGATAGATTCTGTTCAGAGGCTGCTGCCTCCTCCCCGTACTCCCTCTCCTCCCCTCCTATCTGTCTGCCACAATCTGTAGTCAGCATGTGCCTCAAAAAGGTGACAAAGCCACAGACATCCTCAGAGGTTTAAAAAATGTAGTATTATTATGCAAGAACTGAAAGAATCATTGCTAGAAACACCCCTTGCCTTCTTAATCCTGGCATGTTGGAAAACCCATCCTAAGACATGAATCTGAACCCCTGGGGCACCAAAGACCTTAGACTGGTTTTCTCCTCCATCCCCCACCTCTGGGAAGGAGGCCTTCTACATACAGGCTGAGCCAGAGAAGGGCCTCTCCCGAGAAGGAGCTGTGTACTCCACTCCCTCTACAGGGAGAGGCCCAAACCAGGAGTGGCCCGCAGCACAACTCCAGGGGGCACTATTCCCAGGGGGTAGCATGCCTGTGTCCCTGGAGTGGCTGCAGGTAGCCTACCACCTCACCAACTGCTCGGACCTCCAATCCCCCATTGCACTGGTTTGAATCCGGCCGCTCCAGGCCTTGTGGCATCTTAAGTTCAAACTTGACTCTGACTGATGGCTGGATGCTGAGCGGCACACACGTCTGGAGTCCTTCCCGGGAGAAGCCCCAAGTACAGCCCAGTAAATCAATAAACAAATTAATAAGCAAATAATGCTGTCTGCTGGACTGAACTGGGACTCCCGAGCGAACGGATTTAAAATCAACAACAGGCGGCCACAGGGCATGCCGGGAACCAGGGCATCATACCTGGGTGGAATTTTCAAAGCCTCTACCCTCTTCTCTGTCCCTCCCAAGATTAGGAACAAGGTCGGTGGTGGGGCTAGCAGGGGGCAGCAGGGCTGGAGGCTGTTGTCTGCGAAGGCCTCCCTGCCGCCCAGCCCGCTCTTACCCTCACTTGCTCTAGTCTGATACTTCCTGTTGAGTGGGGGGCTTGGAGCACAGCTGCGGGACCTCTGATCTGGGTACTGCAGATGATGAGGGATGATGTGGTGACAAAGCAGCCCTGGATCACATTAGGCACTGATTAAGGGAGCTGGCCAACGGCAGGTAGAGGGAGGCCAGGTGGATGCAGGTGCTGGCTATACAGGACTGCCCCCTGTGGGTGCCACCCCGTTTGTGAGAGAGCAGGCCCAGGGAGACCATGGCACCAGGTCCTCAAGGCAGGGGTCCCCCCCCCCCGGCAGAAGCCTCAGCACCAGCCCACCCCTGCACCTCAAGTATGCCAAGTCCCTCCCCTGTGGTGCCCAGGAGGCCAGGGTCAGGGTGCAAACAGAAATGCCTGGACTGCCGAAAATAGACTCAAACTGACTTCAGGAAGATCTCCAGCCAGGAGGCCTGCAGCGCCCTTTTCTGAAAGGGCCTCCTGAATGCCCGAGCCTTCTCTTTTGTGCTCACAAATGCCACCCAATCACAGTGAGCCTGTTGGAGCTGAATAATAAGGCAGAGAGAGTGTCTGCCTGGGGCGCTGGCCTCTGGGCTATCTGCCAGGGCTGTCAGGCCGCCCAGACTTCAATACCAACCGAGTTAAGGGACAAGAAAACAGCTCGGGTAAAGGCTTGGAAGCTGAGAAGGGAAGTGACCTGTCTTGTGAGGCAACAGAGTTCAGTCTGCCCAGGGCCTTCTGACACGAGGCTGTCGAGAGGCCCCATGCCCGCAGGCTGCAGCCCCCTCCCCCAGCAAGGTGGGCACTAATGGTGCCTGGCAGCCAGAGAAGCAGGCCTTGTAAGCACTGCCCTGTCTGGCTGCCTGTGCCTCATGCTGTATGAGCCTGGGGACACCCCCCCACCCCCCCCACCCCTGCTCTCTTTCTTAGCCAGTGGGGAGGGGTCTTCTCAGGCTGCCACAGCTCTCAGCAAACACTATCCGGAAAGGAGGGGAGATGCCTGTCTCAAACGCCCCAGGACACTTGGAAAACTGGATCATGAAACACACCTGCTGAAAACCTCTGGTGACCCCTCTTGGCCCACAGAACAACGTGAACATCCCAATATCCCTTCACTGATTCTAACAGTCATTGGTACCTGCTGTGTCCCAGAGCACCTTGGAGGAAGGTGTCTAGGTGGTGATAGTGAGGAAGACAGATGTGGTTCCTACCTTCTCTGTGTTGGGGTGAGGAGGGAAAGCCAGGCCCTCAGGCGAGACACTCTCCAGAGGGGAGAGACAGTGGAATTTCACCAGGCCCAGAAAGCCCAGAGTATATCCAATGGTCTGGGCAGGAGTCCACTGCAGGTGCTGGGGAGGAGGTGACAAAGGGCAGAGGTCTGGAGTGACCAGTCAGCCAGGGAGGGAGAGGAGGAAACCAGGCTGCCCAGAGTGTCTGGGCAAACCTAAACCTCTCCTTCTTTCAAGCTGGCCTGTGAGGACAAAAGGCTCAGGCCCAGGCCCTGCCTCCTGCCTCCCAGGCAACCCTCCCTAGAGAGCTGCTCATTAGTTACCAGGACTCTACCAAGCTTGCCTGGCCTTAGACCTGGGTCTCACACCAAGCACCATGTGAGAGGCAAAACTGAGAGAAAATGAGAGAGACAAAAAGAAATCAGCTTGGAGGGAACAGATCTCCAGTGCGCCTTCCTTCCTGACTCCACAGAAGGTAAGTTTAGAAGCTGCTTAGCTGTGGGTCAGAGCACAGCCCCAGGGGCTGAATCCTGGCTCTACTCATTGTTATCTGTGTGGCCTTGAGTGAGTTACTTCCTCTCCCTGCCTCAGTTTCCCTGTATTTTTTTTCTTTCTTTTTTTTTTCTTTTGAGACAGAGCCTCAAGTTGTTGCCCTCGGTAGAGTGCCGTGACATCACAGCTCACAGCAACCTCCAACTCCTGGGCTCAAGCGAGTCTTCTGCCTCCACCTCCCAAGTAGCTGAGACTACAGGCGCCTGCCGCAACACCCAGCTATTTTTTGTTTGCAGCCATCATTGTTGTTTGGTGGACCAGGTTGGATTTGAACCCGCCTGCTCAGGTGTATGTAGCTGGGGCCTTAGCCGCTTGAGCCACAGGTGCCGAGCTAGTATTTTTTTTTTTTTTGAGACAGTCTCAACTCTGCTGCCTCAGGCTAGAATGCCTGACTTTAGTCTAGCTCACTGGCATCAGCCTAGCTCACAGCAACCTCAAACTCCTGGGTTCAAAGTGATCCTCCTGCTTCACCTTATGGAGTAGCCGGGACTACAGGTCCCACAGTGGCTGCCACAATGCCCAGCTAGTTTTTTTTTCTATTTTTAGTAGAGATGGAGTCTTGCTTTTGCTCAGGCTAGTCTCCAACTCCTGATCTCAAAGAGATCCTCCTAACTCAGCCTCCCAGAGACTACAGGTATGAGCTCCTGTGCCCGGCCTCAGTTTCCTTATTTGTAAAATGAAAGTAAAAATGGTACCAGTGTTCATGGGGTTATTGTGGGATGAAATGAGCTGCCCCCAGCATACAGTAACACTCTGAGAGAACAAGGTGTCTGGCCAGGCCACTTCAGCAGTGCAGAGGTGGGATGAGAAGGGTGAGAAGGAAGAAAGAGAGGTACCCAGAAGAAGCTCAACAGAACTTCTGCTTCTGTTGTTTTTAATCCCATGTTTTTCAATTCCCCCTTTTCTGTATACTTTATAATGTACATAATATATTAGCTCAGTTGTACATGTTTAGAATTTATTAATAAATAAACATATATGCCCTGCCCTCCACTGTCAGGTAGGATTGGGCTGCTGGGAGCCTGGGCACAGAGTCCACATCGGCAGGCTCAGGCAGGGTGGAGGGCTAAGAGGGAGTCTCCAGGGACAAGCAGAAGATTCCCCCGATGTATCCCCAGCAAATGTACGTTTATTTATTAATAAATAGACAGGGGGAAAGTGCGGTGGGAACTGATGGTGCTGGCTCCATCCCCTGGGGGCTCATCTCAGACTTCTCTATCTCTGGGAGCTCCTCAAAAGTTGGCTCTCTCCTTCCCAGTTTTTCTAAGTGCTCCCTTGCCCTCCCTGGGACCTAGCGGTGGCCACAGCTCTGCTGCCTAGCTCCTGCTCACTGCACTGGTCTCTCCTGGCTCCCTTACACCCATGCCTTATAAAGAGTCCTTTGTCAAGAAATCTTCTTACATTACCCACATTTAAATGTGGCATCTGTTTGCTACTGGGACTCTGACCCACAGCACATCCTCAAAAATGTTCTACCCACAGGGTGTACGATCAAAATACTTGGAGATGACTGTTAATGCACAGTCTGGTACCCAACTGGTGGTGTGGTTGGTACCCTAGGATCCTGACCATTAGGGAATGTTCCTCTCTTCCTCTTCCCAGGGGAGGAGGGGAGGGAGCAGTTTTTGGTATTGGCTTTCCCCTCCGTGCTTAGAAGCAGCCAGCATTAGTCAGTGGAGCTCACTGAGCTTCTGCTTGTAGCTGGCCAAAGGGCTTCTCCATCCCAGGAGACCGGCAGCTGGGAGCCTGCTGTCTCCGTTCCTGTCTCCTGTCTGGGGACTCAGTTATTGCTCAAGTGGCCAGCACTTGATTCATGTAGGGTCCTGGTAGCAGCGAGATGGCAGCCTTTCCCTGGATAACGTTAGGGGACTTTAATAAAGTATTTTTACAAAGGTGGAGGCAGGGTTTAGGGAAACCAACACTGCAGCACCCTGGGGACTAGCAAGAGTGGGGAACCCTCCCCATGGTAGCTGCTTATAGCAGCTGTAAGCATGACCAGAGGGACACAGCCTTCCTGTGGCGACCTTGTGAGGCGGGAGCCGGGCAATAAATTCCCATCCTCACTCTCTTCCTTTCCTCCAAACCCAGCTGGAAGCCAGAGGCCGGGAGCCCTAGGATGCAGAGAAAGCAGTATTCTAGGCCAGAGAGCAGGGGGAGCAGGGTATGGGAAGGGGAGTGTGGAACAGGAGGGGGAAGAGGAGGCCTAGCCCCTACCCACAGAGCCACCCCTTCTCCCTCAGGCCCACAGGATAACCACACCCACATCTACACAGCCCCTCTAGTGGAATCAGAGCAGCGGCTGCTGAGTGGAAAGGCTGTTGGAGTGAGCTGGGGCTGGGGCGGATGGAGGCGTGCTTGGAATGTCAGATGTAGAAGTCTGAACTCTCCCCGCGGGCAGAGCAGTGTAAGGCAGCTAAGCAGTGATCCAGCTAAAGCCAGGCCTGAGTGGGCCCTAGTGGAGGGAAAGGCAGGCAGGAGGTGGAAGGGGAGCTCTCTCTGTGATTCCTTACCCAGCTCAAAGACAGAAGGGAAACAGGAGGCTGCAGATAAAAAGGCTGATGCCTCCAGCAAGACATTTAGGAAGAGCCTCCCTGAGCTGTTGTTCAGCTCAGGCTCTGGCTTCCCCTCCAGAGCAGAAGGTTCTGGTGTTTAAGGCTCTGAACTAGTCAGGAAGAGGCTGGCAGAGAAAGGGGAAGGGAGTTCTCTGCCATCATCCCTGAGGAACTGGCTCTCACCATGCTGGAAGGTTCCTGCATTTTTCTGGGCCACAATGTCCTCATGTGGAAAGTGACACTAAGGCACCTGCTTCCTGGGGTCTTGGAGGAGCAAGGGCAGCAGCACGTTTGAAAGCATGTGTTCTTCTCCAGAAGAAATGGAAACTGGGGGGCAGGTGCCCTTTATGTGAAACCCAAAGGGAATGCTAGTCTCTCCACATACATCTGATGGCAAGGACAGCCCCTTCCCCTCACTCCCTGAGAGCTTCCCAAGTATCTCCCTGGGCCCTCCCCACTGTGGGCTGCTTGGTGCATGGGAGACGAGGGCTGCTCTTGCAGGCTGGCAGTTGGACTGCAGACACAACTAACACAGATACCAAACTACAGGAGAACTCACGAGGCAGCATTCATCTTTCCCTTGCTGCCATCCTTGCATCCTTGGTCCTGGGCCGGGAACATCCTTTACCCACCTCTGTGCTCCTCTAACTCTTTTTACATTTTTTCTATTATAAAATATTCAGGATGTACATAAAAGGTATAAATAGCAATGAAATAAATACCTAGGTGCTACCACCATCACCAGTTTAAGAAACAAAACATTATGAATACAGTAGAACCCCCTTAGGCACCTGCCCTAATCACATCCATCTTCCTAATTACAGGAGACCATTATCCTGCTTTTTATACTTACTATTGGTACATCGTATATTTGAAAGTTAAGCAGTGCTGTAGTTTGAATGTTTGTTCCTTCCAAAACTCATATTGAAATGTAATTGCTATTACAACAGTATTAAGAGGGGGGACCTTTAAGAGGTGATTAGGCTTCACTCATATGGGTGGGACTGGTGCCATTATAAATGGGTGAGTTCAAGCCCCTCTTGCTCTCCTTTGCTCTTCTGTCCTCCACCATGTGAAGACAAAGTGTTCCTTCCCTCTGGAGGTCGCAATGTTCAAGGCACCATCTTGGCATCAGAATCATCACACCTGCCAATACCTTGACTTCCCAGCCTCCAGAACTCAGAGCCAATACATTTTTGGTTATAAATTACCCTGCCTATGGCATTCTCTTATACTGAAGTCCCCAACCCTGGGGCCACATCCAGTACCAGTCTGTGGCCTGTTAGAAACCGGGCCACATAGCAGGAGATGAGTGATGAGTAAGCAAGTGAAGCTTCATTTGTATCTACAGCCATTCCCCATCGCTCGCATCACCTCCTGAGCTCTGACTCCTGTCACATCAACAGCAGCATTAGATTCTCAGAGGACCGTGAACTCCACTGCAAACTGCATGTGCGAGGGATCTAGGTTGCACGCTGCTAATAAAAATCTAATGCCCATCCCCTGCCCCAGTCAGTGGAATAATCATCATCCATGAAATTGGTCCCTGGTGCCAAAATGGTTGGGGACCATTCATCTTATAGCAGCACAAAGAGAATAAGCCAAGTAGTATATGGTATTGCATTAAAGACTTTGAATGTCTTCAAACTTTAGGTAAATGGTATCACCTGGTCTACATCCCTTTGCAATTTGTATTTTCAAGTAACACTATGTTTTTGAAGTTTATTCATGTAGATATGTGTAGCTTTAGATCAGAGTATGGCAAACCTTTCCAGAAAGGGAGAGATAGTGAATTTTTTAAGCTTTGCAGACCAAAGAATCGGTTGCAACTGCTCAACCCTGTCATTGCAGTGTGAAAGCAGGCATAGACAACATATACATGAGTGAACATGGCCATGTTCCAATATCACCTTGTTTACAAAAATAAGCAGCAAGCTGGATTAGGCCCATGGGCCATCATTTGCTGATTTAGGCCATTCATTTTCATTACT